TAGTATCAGATTTGCCTCCCTGGTAGTGAGAAAGAAATGGGTAATTGATGAAGCAGTTTCAGACTTGGAAGTTTTCCTTTCTTCCTGAAGCCATCAAAACAGTCACTGACAGGACTGGAATTAAGAAACTTGAGGGCATCAGGGAGACTATATCTGCTAAGACAATCAAATAAAACTCAGAAAGGACAAGTTTATTCCTATGCTGTTTTTATCTTGAAAATTACTTTTCATTGCATGCAGGACATTTTTTGACACATATTATGCTTGAGACTGAGGAGTCAGAACTTCAAGGTAGGTACATTCCCTGAACCTAGACAGAAACTAAAAACTGCAAGTGTCAAACTCCAGATTAACAATATGCTTGGTCACAGCGCACTCCTAAGTACCTGTTTCTGTTTTTTTCTGCTCGTAAAGGAAATTATACGGTAATGGACAAACCTGCCCAGAAATAAAATCACCAAGAGATAAACCAACAATCAATCTGGCACCCGGCCTTCCAAGAAGAGCATAGGTACAGTTTTCATCCCCAAGGGTACTTCTGCCTTGTAGAAAGGCTTGTCCTGTATTAGTAAACCTTGGTAAAAAGTGAGCCATGGAGTATGAAGTGATGCCCAGCCACATATGATGGAAACAGAGAGCAAGTGTGTTTCCACTGAACTCTAGAACATTAAGTTGTTAAAGGAAAAGGACCAGCTTTAAGTGAGTGATGTACACTCGTATATTTGAGTTGAACATCATCATACTGTTTCATAGGGAATATTTAACCTACAAATTCAAGCATCTCTAAATTAAGAAATTAGGCTAATAATTAGTGTAGCTTAAGTAATCATAAATTGCTTCCTGAAAGGTTAGACTCATATAATGGGTACCTCATTCACATCCATTTATTCTCAAAATGGAAGAGCTACTAAATTGAGGATGAGACATGAACAAAAACCTGCCTCAGGGAAAAAAAAAAAAAAGGCACAAAATTTTAGGCAGGAAATACTGAATAAACAAGCAGCAAAGTCCTTTTCTCACTCATTATCAGCACCTTGTACAACTATGCCTTTTTATTTCACATGCAAAAAAATCATTAGATAAAAGGTGCAACACCTACACCCAGGTCATGAGGTTACAGGATTTATCTGAGTATCTTAAATACCGAAAATTATTTATTTCTCCTGATATACTTGGAAAAAACTCTACTAACTTGATTAGGAATTTTAATGATCTCCTAACTGCATCATCCTAACAAAATGCAAAAGGAAATAATCCTAGATGAACTCCAGTAACTCACAGAAATTTCTACTGTGGGCTGGCACTAGAGTTGCTGAAACTGACTAAATGAAGGAAGGAGGGAATATCATTAAGGTTCACTGTGATCAAGAAGTAGTGGTGGGGGGGGAATAAGAAAAAAAGTCATGGTTTTGCAGGGAAACCTCTAAAAATACAGGTGCTAAACACTGTATTTTATCATGTAAACACTAACCAAATCTACTTTTAAGTTTTCACTAAAGTTATTTCAAAAACAACAGGTATCTATCTATCTATACCCTGTAGTCTGTGTTTTTAGTAACAGAAACACTAAATATTGGAAAGTCTTGCACATGCAAGCGTTTGATTTCAAAGCTATCTCGCACTCTCTACTACACGCATCCAGTCAATAAAAGTTCACCAGGATTTACTGTCACCTTCAAATCGCAGCACCCTCACCCCCTCGCCCTCCCCGGGCACTACAGGCACTGGTTCACGTATCAGACATATGGGTAAGAAACGGGGGTCATTCCTGAGCAGCAGCAGTGCCCACTGCCGCTCGCCTGGACGACTCTATCCCACCCGCCCTTGGGACATCTCCAGAGACGGGCACATTACCACCCACTTCCCCTTCCCGACACCAGGTGCGTGCCGCGTCCCTCCATTTCTCCACTTCCCTCCTCTTTTTGCTCAGGATGCTCCCTGAACAACCCAAAGGGAGGGAAGGGCAGCGCAGCCGTGCGGGGAGGGGGCAGGCCGGGGCCCGGCCCGGGCTCTCCGCAACGGCATCGCCGCCGTCCCCGGGCCGCAG